TATAATAATTGCAAAATGCAACGAATCTTCTAGCGCTGTCCGCATCATGACGGACTGGGTAATTCTTGATGACGTCGTATTTTTTGTCATCTGGCAAGATTCCTTTATCAGTGCACTTATGTCCCAGAAAAGTGACTTCATGCATGAAAAATGAGCATTTTTCAGGACGTAACTTAAGGTTGTATTCCCTACATTTCTCAAAAACATCAGTTAAGTTTTTAAGCATATGTTTTTTTTGGAACAACCTATAACTATTCAGTCATCCATATAAAGGAATGCTTGTGAAGGTTCTAATCCAAAGAATGCAATAGTCATCATCGTCTGAAATGAATTAGGCGATATTTTTAAGCCGAAAGGTAATCGTGTGAAACGATACGAGTCATTGCTCCTTGAAAATGACGTTATAACTCGTGAACTTTTTCCAAGTTCAATTTGATGAAAGCCAGACCTTAAGTCCAGACATGAGAAATATTTCGCTCTTCCTAGTTAATCCAAAATATCATCAATTCTAGGTAGCGGGAATTTATCCGACAACAGTTTTTTATTAATCTGACGATATTCAATTACTAATCGACATTTTTTCGTATCAGATCAGGGGAGTGATTTCTTAGAAACTAATAACAGTGGGCTATTATAGTCTGATAAAGACTGTTTTACTATTTTATTGTCTATTAGTTTTTTTACGTGTATGTTAATTTCATCCTTTTGTCTATGTGGACTTCTATAATTTTTTATGTAAACCGGTTCTTCATCCTTCAACCTTAGTTTTTGCTTGTAGAAATTGTTTGTAGTTATTGATTCGGTTTCGAGTCCGAATATATCACTGTACTGTGTGCATAAATCAGTTAATATTTGCTTGAACTGAGGTGGAAAATTTTTGGATAATTGAGATAAGACAGTTTCTTCTCTATTTTCTGGATTGTTTTGAACTATGTCACAGTTCGAAAGTGGTTCATATTTTAAACTGTGAATATTTACTATTTGGTCAGTACTGATTGTATTCAGTAATCGGACAAATGCATTTTTGGTTGTTGCGACTGTGTTCGCAACATAAATGCCATGTTGAATTTTCTAATTAGGTATTAGTATACTTTATTCATCTAATGATAGATGAATCTCTCGGACCACTTGAGATTTTGCTGGTAGAATTATGGAATTATTACCAGAACTGTATGTTATAGGAACATAAATTGGAAAAATTAAATTATTTGGTCTTAGGATAAACCAATAAACCAATAAACCAATTCTCACAGAATTGTTTGTATTATTGTTATTGTGGCCTCGATTTGAGTTGCCACGGCCTCTTGAGTTTCCTCTATATTGGCCTCGTCCATTACTGTTATAGTTGGAACTGTTGTAGTTGTTGTAATTATTATTACGACTACGATAGTTTCCTCTGAAGTTTCCACGTCCGCGGTTTCCACCACGCTGTGTATAATTTTTAAAATAAAGGACAGTATTAGGTTGTCCAGTTGCTTCGTTACATAGATTGTTGTTTATTGTATTTAATTAATATTCGTACAAAATGTAAGGCAATTAAAACTATATCTATAATTTTTGTAAAGAAGACAATTGAGGGACCCGTTTGCACCTGGCAGTGATGCACTGCATTGATATTGATTGAAATTGAACAGTTTTTCTAAGTGTGATTACAGATGCGAATAGTAAATTGCCCTAGAGCGGTAATTATATATTAGGTGTATATCGGTACTTAGCTACGATTAGTCAAGTCAAGTATAGGCTTACTGGCTAAGACTTATGAAATAGGCTCAGTTTCAGTTACAATTCTACTCTGATTTTATGTCTGCAACACCATTTGACATAAGAAACTCGTTAACATTTAATGCTACAGGCTAATAATAATATAACTTCAGCTCGAAATCCTGTAACCCGAAACAATTATCCACACATACCGTAGACCACGATTCCGGGAGTTTCTTTTGCACAGGCGTTAAGATATAACAACGGGACATACGCATCTAAGCTGACAGGTCAGCAAAACACTGCTGGTCCAGTGCGGCAACCTACATTAAACCAGAGTCCAGAAAATACTGGCCAACATATAACTGCAAACGCACAATTGCCTAACGGCCTAGAGCAATGCTGGTGACTATAACCAACACAATGGTAGCAATAGAGCAAACACTGCAAAATCTTACGCGCTCCCAAAATCTCCTTTTGGAGCTATTAATCAAACAAAAATCTGCTTAGATGATTTCCTCAAAAATATGTTTCTGGAATGCGAATGACATCTCACAGCACAAATACGAGCTCGCGCAGTTCCTAGATCAGTATGACATTGACGCCAGCTTATATCAAAAACACACCTAACAAACAAAAACTACTTTCAACTTAATGGATATACATTTTATTAAACAAACCATCCTGATGGCAAGATTCATGGCGGTACTGGAATACTGATCAAGAAACACATTAGGCACTGTGAATTGCCATCATTTGCAACAGCCTGTATACAAGCTACATCAATACACATCAATACCAAAAGCGGTACCTTAAACCTCTTAGCTGTATACTGCCCACCACGCTTTTCCATTTCCGAAGATGAATTTGTACTGTTCTTCGACCTATTAGGTGACCGTTTTCTAGCGGCTGGTGATTACAACGCAAAACACACCCACTGGGGCTCTCGACTCACCAACCCCAAAGGAAGACAGCTATAAAACGCTATAATTACACCAAGAAACAAGCTTGGTCTTATCTCTCCTGGCAAGCCTACATGTTGGTCAACAGATCGTAACAAGAAGCCTGACTTGTTCGATTTTCCCGTCACAAGAAGAGTGGCTAGAGAGCGCGTCCACGTGGAACACTTAACAGCTCATCGGATCACTCGCCTATTTTACTTCATCTCTACGGGTTAAATACAGAAAGTATGTAAGTACCCATATTGATGGCTTCCCAAACATGTACCAAAAAGAAGAGATTGACAGTTCAGTTGAAGAGCACGTGTCTGCTATGTCACTAGCTGCACAACCCTCCACACCTATTATACCTGCTTGTAATCCTGATAACAACTGGCGGGCTTCTGCGCATATTAACGAACTGCACCGCAATAAGAGAAGGCTTCGGAAAGGATGGCAACCCCATAGATCGCCTGCTGCAAAGGAAACGCTTAAAACAACTATCTATCTTTTACGCAAAGGCTTAGAAGATGTACATAATCGATCTCAATTATCCTATTTGCAGCGTCTTTCCCCAAACAGACGATATCCACTGTGGAAGGCTAAATCAGGTATATGTCTACCAATAGAAAGTGAGTCGCTACTCCACACACAAACAGGAGAATGGGCTCGCAGCAACGAAGAGAGGGCAAATTTATTCGCCGCACAACTAGAAAACCTTTTCAAGTCACTCTCGTCAATAAATAGTGCAATAATGCTACCGTGCCTATCATATTTAAATCGACAGAAGTGATTGGAGTGTATTGGAGTATTCTTAAACACAACTTTCTAGCTTTTATAGTTACCGCATTTTTGGGTTTTCGCGTTTTATGAGTGGCCGTAGCTTGATCAGAAAAAACAATTTCCATTGGGAGCTTCATAAATACGTACATGCTTAATCCGAACTTTCTATCACTTATAGTTACCGAGATATCCGCTTTTCTAGAAAAGCCGGTGTGGCCGGATAATAGTACCACTATAGACGGCATCTAAAGATTATACATACTGAATTTCAACTTTCTAATAGTTCCTGAGATTTCAGCGATTTTAGTTTTTCGCGAGTGGGCGTTAGAGTGGGCGTGGCAGGATGCTGTGATAACCTTGCGCTGCGTAGGGACTTCAAGAATCTTCACGCTTAATCTGAACTTTGTATCTTTTATAGTTCCTGAGATCTCAGCGTCATACGGACAGATCAAGATGAACAAGAATATATATATACATTTGACGCAGCCTGGCCCATCTCGGGGAATGCCTTTTGAACATTCAATGCACTCAATAACACGATCCTCAAATTCTCTTACAAAAAAAACCGATCCCTGGCGGCGGTAAATTTAAACTTAACTAACTACCGATAGCCCTTATCAGTTCAGTACACTTTAATACCATTCTAACGCCCACAAATCAGGAAAAACTAAACTTTCTAGAATCTCAACAACTATAAGAGCTAGAAAATTGGGGTGAAGTATGTTTACTTTTGAGATGCCAGTGAATCTTAACCCAAGCTCGAAAGACGGTTTTCGCTTCTTGTATAAACGCTGAGATCTCGGTAACTATAAGTAATAGAAAGTTGGGATTAATCTGTAGTAGTTTATATTTATGCCCCAATGCGTATTATTTTTCCCCCATCTCTCCACCTCCACTCCACCTCTACCAAAAACGCAAAATTCTCGGTAACTATTGGAGGTAGGGATTCGGATTAGACTTACATATTCTAGAGATGACACTGCAAACTAAAGTGACACATTCATGCAGCCACGCCCACCTTAACGTCCACAAGCCGTGCAGAACTGTGGCGTCCATAATATTAAAATGAATATCTTCGTTTGACTTTTTATAATATATTTAGTTTATATCTATTGTTTTACCAAAAATTTTTCAAATCGGAACATATTATTCGCTTTTTATTAAGAAATGTAGGTTATAATGACTCATATGGACGGTGAAGTCACCATCAGTTACTCGAAATGCTTTTTCTGACAAAATGTGGCGCTTTGCGAATTTCAACTGCCAAAATGAATATTTTACAATTGCATAAAACAGTATCTGGTATCTTATAGTCACGGCACTCGACTACCCACAAGTAACATTGTACTGAATATATATTTACTGTCACGTTTGGTCATTTGGAACGACTTAACATTACCATTACATTAACGATAAAAAAATGTTGCTTAATTTTAAAATTTATGTTTTCTTACACAAATAATTTAAATACCCATTCAGAAATAAACACATTCTGCATAAAATAAAATAAAAACGAATTCAATTTTTTTATATTTGTTCATTTATTCGTTCATTTATAAGATTTTCAAAAAATATCTATACAAGTCATCTAACCTTTTTATTGCATTTTTTAAGTTCTGTGCTAATTTTCCAAAAACAACTTTTCAACATTTCTTCACAACAATATTATTCATAGGCTCTAAAATTTTTTGAAAATAAGACAATAAATCTAATGTTTTGATTGTTTGAGTATTTGAATACGACGACTCTACAAACACCACATTCAAATTAAGTAGAACAAATATAACCCTACAACTTGGCACGCTTAAGATAATCCTTGTAAGTAACATCACGCCACCAACGGGGCCGCTCATACACGCCAGGAGCGGAAACAATCATGCCCTGAAGATGCTGGTAAACCTGAAAAATATTGGATTTGTTTCCTAAACTTGGAATGTTTAATAAGAAACCACTTACATTCCCATCGCTCATGCCCAAGGGTGAGTTTAGAATAAAATCAGTGGGAGCAATGGAATCCACCAGAGCGATGGCTTCATCCTTAAGCACGGGAAGTAGCTCTAACAAGCCTTTTTCATAAAAATCGAGTTGATTCGACTTTTCGTGGAAATATCCGCCGCGATAAAAAACAGAGGAGTACTTGACAATCAGATGGGCGCCGTAAAAGGAAAGTACCTGCTGCAACACAAGTTTCTCTGCAGAGTCGGATAGGCTGGTCACAAATTTATAAAACACGTAGTAGATAGTACGCTAAAAATATTTGTCCAGGTTAACGAAATACTTAGGCTAAATTCCGAGAGTAGCCATATTACCTCGCCGTATATTAAAGAAAGCTTTTGAGCAGCAAAGACCTGAACATTGTTCCGCGTTTCAAACGCATCTTTCCCTTTACGCTGCTCTTGCTCGACCCGCTTCACAGTCGACTGTAGTTGCCAGGCAGTTAGCCAGTTGAGGGCCTTTAACAAATCTACAACAAAAAAAATAAACAAAAATTACAAGGTAAAACCAAATAAAAATCGTTATATTATTATAAATGCCAGTTTTTCTCGGCTTGTGGGCGTAAACCTACAATGTGCATGGTTAATGCAAACTTTCGATAACTTAAAATTGCAGAGTTTTTCATGGTTTGTGCGCGTTTGATTGGGCGTGGCAGATTTAAAAGTAGCCCTTTTTTTGGGCGTCTCCAACTTTCTAGCTCTTATAATAACTTCCCGAGATCTAAGAGTTTTCAGTTTCCCGCGATTTGTGGGCGTTAGAGTGGGCGTGGCAGGACGCTAAAACAAAATTGCGCTGCCATTATATTCCAGAGAAGAAATCTGAAGGCTTAGTCCCAACTTTCTATATTTCAGCGTTCCTCAGATCTCTGCGTTTATACAGATAGACGGATCGGCTATTGAATATTTATAACCGATATCCGTAAAGTAAAAGGACATATTTTCATGTTATTCGTGAAACATGTAGAAGAAAGATTTTGCGACCTTATAATACCTTATAATACATGTGTGCTCAACGGGCTTGCTCCCCCATAAGCTTTGAGCGCTCGCGGCGCTATTTCACTAACAATTTATCGTTCTTCCCTTTCCGGCTCATTCCATCGCTAACTGCAGAAAAATATGTCTTGTTTTTCCTGGAACTTCCCAGAACACTTATTTATTCTTTATAACTGTTTGCAATTTAGAGTTTATTTCGCAGAGGACCATAGACACGAGAGTTTGTTTCAGTAAAAAGAGTAATGAATTGATTAGAGCACAGCTGCAAACCAACACAAAAGTGTCAATGCATACATACTCCTGGTCATTAAAAATTTTGTTCGGTGCATTACCGCCCCTTTCTGCCCCCCGATTTTCGTAAAAAAGCGTTTGGGTTATGTATGGGTTTGTACTAGGGCTTGAGGCAACCATTTCCTGGGTTTTCCCATCCTTAAAATGTTTAAGGACTAATTCGCTTTGCTCAACAAACTATTGACTATTATTCGTGGCGCCATAGTTTGAAAATCCTCGTTAATCCGTAATTTTTGGGTGCCCCAGCCTCGAAAACTTATAAATATGCTTTTGTTAATATATTTTTACTAGTATTAAGAAAAAAAAAAATGGATTAAAAAGTCCTAGTTTAGAGTTATTAACCGTTAAAGTGCTTGCACGAAATAAGCTTGTGCGTCGCAGTTGCCCTATTTTTTAGTTTTTTTATGAAAAATTCTTTTGTTTTTTAAATTAGTAAAAACTTTTGTTATTATTTTAATAATATGCGACATTCTTAACATTACTGCGTTTAAATTTTTTTGATACCTCTGCTGGTTTAGTAGCAGTATCAAATTAAAAATTCGATTTTTTCTTGCACGAAATAAGCTTGGAGCCACTGTATGTATGTGCACGTTTTATTTTACATATTTGTTTCAGTATATCCTCTGACTTGAAATTTTTTTAAACATCACTGCTATAAGGTTTTTGTATATTCGGGTATTAATACAATATTACTGTAAAATGATATTACGCATTTTAAAAATTATAATTTTGGCATGTAATGAAACCACCTTGAGCTGAGGTTGAATTTTTAGAATACTAGAATTCTTAACTTTCCAGATCTTAGATTTACAGGTACATGTTTTCCAAAACGCATTCATAAGCAGAAAGCTTTAAAATAAATTTAATTTTTTGCAAATCGGTACGTTTTGAAAAAGAGAATATATCGCACTTGACGGAAGGAATATTAGTCGCGGACGCCTGGTAATACAAACTTGAATTAAGCAGGTATCTCTACAACTTAAATCCTTAATCCCAATACTCTACCACATATGTATATGTATGTAGATAACGAAGTCTCAGCATTCACGGAAGGATAGACTGAGATGGTTATACCAACGTAGGTTTGTTTATATGGTCGGATGTTTTCTAAATGATCCCTTCTGTAAACTTTCCAAGAAATAAATGATATCATATTTTTCTAGGAATATAAATATTTTAATCCCTATCTAAATGTGTGCACCAATGTTATCCGAATTCTTAAGCAGCACAATTTAATGTTCTTAAGTATTTCTGTAAAGCACCTGTAGACTAAGCAAATTTAAGAAGAGTAGAAAAGTAATGAAACACTCACTGTGTACATCCATGGTTTCGGCAATTGTACATTCCTTGCTGTTGCTTTGTAAAATGTTGTCCATATTCTTTAAAAAAGAAACCGTCTCTAACGGAGATACGGCTACAAAGTCGGCGTTGTTGCGACGTAGACTGATCAACCAATTGGATGCTTGCTGGATAAGCGTGTTGTTTTCGCCTTCATAAGTGCAGTTAGCATCGTTGTCGTTTCGAAGGTCGCCTAAGCCAGAGTTTTTTAAGTAGCCATGACCACCACAGGCTTCGCGGCACTCCTAAAAAGAATATTTTTTTAAATGCATAAAGCGTACAAAAGATGTAATATTTAATATTTTTCCGTTTGCTTGTACTCCTTAACTAATTTATTAGGTTTAGTACTGTATACTGAATTTATTTATGGTGGTACCATTATCCCACACTCCCACTCTTACGCCGACCAAATTTGAAAGACGGTTTTCGCTTTTTTGTAGAAAAGCTGATATCTCGATAACCATAAGTGATAAGTGAAATGTGGGATTAGGCATATAGTTTTATATGATGCCCCCAATGTAAATGGTTTTTTTCCCATCTAGCCAGGCCCACTCAATCGCCCACAAAACACGGAAAACCGAAAACGCTAAAATCTCGGGAACCATAAGAGCAAGAAAGTTAAGCTGAGAAATACGTATTTTAGAGACGCCACTGCAGCTCGACGCGAGTTTTTTGACCACGAGTTTTTGACCACATTTGACCCCGCCCACAAGCCGCGGAAAACTGTGGCGTCCATAATATTATAATAAATGTTTTCGCTTGACCTTTTTATAAAACTTTTTTGTCAATATCTATCGATTTACCAAAGATTTTTTAAATCAGAACATTACTTTGATATTTATGAAGAAATGTAGGTTATAAGGCCTCGCATGAACAGTGACGTCACAATCAGTTAGTAAACATGCTTTTTAACAAAATGTGGTGCTTTGTCCTTTCCACTAGCAAAATTGTTATATTAATGCAATTGGTGGTAGATGAATTAAAATCTTAAGAATTAACTTGAATTCCATAAATGTAGACAAGGAAAGAATTAACATACGCTAGCACTAAATAACTTCTGCTGGAAATCTCATCTCACTGCTGTGGTAAAATATAGAATTATGTACATATGCCTCAATTGAGTTTGTAGATGGAAACTTCTTGTAAAATGTTGTTGTACTACTTGATAACAAATATACTTCATTTAAAAATGGTTATCAACAGTTTTTACAAAATAATAAGAAATACAAAATACTACAAAAGCCAATTTTTACATACAGCAAGTCTTTGCTCTTTTTCAGTACTACCTAAGATAAAATAGGTCGATTGCCACGACTTTCGGACTTTTTACTGTGTTCATAATTTTAAAACAATTATTTTACTAGCAAATATCACTTAACCTACATTTTGAAAAATATTAGTCTAAAATAAATACTTTTCAGTGTCACTTCAGGAGAGACGGGCATGGACATAATTGACTCGGCTATATTTATTCTGATCAAAAAAATATATTCCTTATATGATCATCTTACATTCCATCTTCTTGGTACATACTTTTCAACGAACACATTACTTTATGGCTTTCGTTTTTACTTACGTATGACGTGTAACCTTACCTGAATGCCATCCCTGGCCGCCCAGGTAGCGACTGGTTTGAGTGCAGACGAAATTGCATGAACCTCCATGCCCGCTAGGGACGTATCCTCGCCGGCGAAGCCCTTCATTGTCAAATCTACATTTACTTTGCCTATCCAAAGCGTGGCAACTCGCAATGCGATTGTAGTGGCCAAGTGAGGGATAAGTCGGTATTGTTGTGATTGATACTCGAACACAGGCCACTCTGTTAGGCTATTAGTAGGTCCGAACTGACGCCTGCTGGCTGCATAACGGGTGGCAATTGTTACAGCTTTGCTCAGAGCCACGTAGGTGATAGCTGTAATATTGACGCGACCTACGGAAAGAGCGCCCAAAGAGGCACCTAGGCGCTTCCTCTCGTCCTTAATTTGGCTGGTATAGTTACCTTGGTCATCAATGTCGCCGGTCTTTGACAGTAAATTGGCTTTAGGTATACGATATTGGTTAAACATTACAAAGCTGCAATTATAATAATATACCCTAAATATTTAAAACTGAGGAGAAAAATACTTGCCCGTTGTCGATGCCATTAAGACCGATTTTCTCGCCCATATCGCCAACTGTTACGCCAGGAAAAGGGAGCAGAGTTTGCTCATCGCGGATGGGAACAAGAAAGGCCTGTAGGCCCTGGTGCTTGTCATCAGGAACGAACAGCTGAGCGTAGACAATAGCATGAGTGCAAGTCTTACCAAGGTTACCCACCCAGCACTTAGCCGCCTCGAAGTCTGGCGTATGGATGACGAATTCCTGCCTTTTTATGTCGTAGGTGGCCCGGGTGCGCATGCCAAGTGCATTGGTGCCGTGAGAGATTTCAGTAAGCGCGTAAGCTCCAATAATACGGTTGTCTGCGATCTTGGCCACGTACTTGCCCAGGCGCCCAGATCCATTAGAGACCAAGGTGCTGGGAAACATGCCCGTTGAAAGGCCGAATTTAACCGAAGTACTGAAGTCGTAGCTGAAGATGGCCTGTCCAAAAGCCAGCAGAAGGTGTGGTGTTTCCAAGTACTGAAATAAAGTCAATACTTTTAACATGTCCATCAGCTTTATCTTATCCGACCCACATCGTTAACGCCATAGAACTGTTGTTCCCAGAGGAGATGCTGTCGTTTGTTGGCCATCTCACGAACACGTTCCAGATTTGACCACTCTGGCTCCCGCTGGAAGTCAGGGTGTTTTTCCATCCATTGCCAAACCTTGTGCTAAGGGGGGAGAAACATTCATTTATCAATGTGCACATACATATAAGGAACGAAATACTATTATCTGTACACATATGTATGCACCAAAAAATTCCGCACTTTGAACTCAGTGCTCGCCTTAAACCTGAAATTAACAATAACCTTCATCCGGATATGATCCTCGCCCTCAAGCAACACGTTCATGTGCTTGTAACAGAAGCTTGCCCTCTGGCGATACTCGTCTAAAGGTCCAGCTCGGAAATTCGGAAAGATTCGTTTGTCATCAAAGATGGTAACTAAGGGTTGTTCCTCCTGCCTTCCGCTGTAATTGTCGCCAAGGCGTTGATTAGAAAATTTACATATGTACCTCGTTTTGATCACTTTTGTGACTTATCCACTTGTCATTAGATTTATGTACTTACTGAGACCTTAATGCAACCATGTTAGAATATGGATTTACGGACTGATGTGCCTCTTTCGAATGCGTGTCGCAAATTACTTGAATGAATGGGATCTTCAAACTATTAGCTTGAAAGTAAATGTTCAATAGCCATCGATAAGTAGCCTGCTTATCCGCACTTCATGGTCAATAATAAAACCAATTTTCAGTAACTCGCATCCGCCCCGGATAAGATAAGACCTTTTAGTAAATAGCCCAGACATCCGTCTCAGTAAACTACAGATATTCGGTTCATTTTTAGTAAAAACATTTTTCATTTATTATTATACACAACCAATTTTAACCCAGTTTAACGCAGCACCGTCGAGAATATCTAAATCACGGGTGCTCAAAATCGTTCAATAACACAAATACAAAAAAGCGTGCACATATTTAGTGACGTTATTGTGTTGGTTTGCAGCTGTGCACTGAGAGAAGCGAAGGGCGAAATTTTCTCTAAATTGCAAACAGAAGGTACAAGGAATGAATTCCAGTTCAAGTGTTCGAAGATGTTCCAGGAAGAAACAAGAAAAAAATACATATATTGCGTTTGGTGACAGAATGTGGCGGAAAGAGGAAAACAAAAAGTTGTTATTGTATTATCGCCGCGAGCGCTCAAAGCTTATGGGCGAATAAGACTTGCTCAGCAAGTCCCTTTTCTCCGGGCAATTCCAAAAACAATTGAGCACTCAGAGCATAGGCCTTGAGCATCCTTCATCTAAATTATTGAACTGCTACTAACAATATTAAACTTTCCCAGAAAATCCAAATTGTCTAAACAATTTTTACTTTTTACTTTTTATGAAGTTTTGTTGAAAACTTTCATCAGGTTCATCAGCTGTAGATGATGAATTTTAATAATACATATATTAAATATACATAACATTATACTTAGTATATACATATGTAACTACATGTATGTATGAAATGATGAAGTGAGCTTTCCAAAAAGGTATAGTATGACCTGATGCGACGAATAAAACAAGAGCTACACGCTTTCAGCGCCAACTAGCGAAAATACCACAAGACTTTTTTGACAACCTAATATACATATGTACATAAATTTATTTTTGTAAACAATTTCTAATTTAATAAACATTTTGTTTTTTAGTACTATTATTTTCGTTCAACTTGTTATATCATTAACAAATTATCAATCAAGTTATACCTTTAATGCTAACACTCAGAATATGTACATACATAACACATAGTACATAATCTACGGTCACTAAGAGTAAAATGTACAATTTATTATTACTTAGTTACACTGTTGTCAAAAGCCAATGTATTTATGTACATATGTATGTATGTATTAACGGAATTCATATGTTGATTGTTTATTGTAGGGTTTAAATAAAATTTTGACGTTACTTCAAAAATTTTTTGACAAAAAGGAATGCAAAAAATATATGTATTTACATAGTGTAAACAGTTTCTTGAAAGTGTCAAACTTGAGTAAACTTATTAATTGCTTGTATTCTAAAGACTTAATAATTTATTGCAAGTAACCTATGACATTTAACAGGTGTTACTGTTTTACGTTTTATTTTCACTCATTCCTTTGAATGCCGCAAGTCTTTAGTTCAAACGAATTAACGAATTTATACCTTTTCATATTAGTTTTTGTATTGCGCACATTCAATTTGATTTGAATTACATACAGTGGCTCCAAGCTTATTTCGTGCAAGAAAAAATCGAATTTTTAATTTGATACTGCTACTAAACCAGCAGAGGTATCAAAAAAATTTAAACGCAGTAATGTTAAGAATGTCGCATATTATTAAAATAATAACAAAAGTTTTTTTACTAATTTAAAAAACAAAGAATTTTTCATACAAAAAACTAAAAAATAGGGCAGCTCCGACGCACAAGCTTATTTCGTGCAAGCACTTTAACGGTTAATAACTCTAAACTAGGACTTTTAAATCCATTTTTTTTTCTTAATACTAGTAAAAATATATTAACAAAAGCATATTTATAAGTTTTCGAGGCTGGGGGCACCCAAAAATTACGGATTAACGAGGATTTTCAAACTATTGCGCCACGAATAATAGTCAATAGTTTGTTGAGCAAAGCGAATTAGTCCTTAAACATTTTAAGGATGGGAAAACCCAGGGAAATGGTTGCCTCAAGCCCTAGTACAAACCCATACATAACCCAAACGCTTTTTTACGAAAATCGGGGGCAGAAAGGGGCGGTAATGCACCGAACAAAATTTTTAATGACCAGGAGGGAGACGTATTGTCCCAAAAGTGAAGGAAAACCCCAAGCTTTGTACCAAATTTTCTTTCAAAATAGTTGAATATTTATTGGCATCCATGATTCCGTCAATAAAAACCAAATTTCCGGCGCCGGACACAGTAATACATGCCCAAACTATAGCATGACCACCGCCGTGCTTAGCCGCTGATTTTGTTTTTTGAATGTAGCTCAGGTTGGGACGCCGCCAAACATATTTCCTCATCTGGGACCCAAATATATTACATTAGGACATTCGTCCACAAACATAACGTCGTTCCAGACCAAAATCGGACTACTTTCAAGTTCCCTGGCGAATTTGACGCGCGCCAACTTATTTTTAGCACTTATAAAGGGCTTTTTTCTAGGAACTCGACCATTAAAGTTATGGTTCTGTAAAATGTTCCGAACTGTACCTGGGCAACATTTTTTGCCCATTTCGTTCTCGATCTCCTCAACTATTTTTGGAGCCGATAGCTTGGGGTTTTCCTTCACTTTTGGGACAATACGTCTCTCCTCCTGGTCATTAAAAATTTTGTTCGGTGCATTACCGCCCCTTTCTGCCCCCGATTTTCGTAAAAAAGCGTTTGGGTTATGTATGGGTTTGTACTAGGGCTTGAGGCAACCATTTCCTGGGTTTTCCCATCCTTAAAATGTTTAAGGACTAATTCGCTTTGCTCAACAAACTATTGACTATTATTCGTGGCGCAATAGTTTGAAAATCCTCGTTAATCCGTAATTTTTGGGTGCCCCCAGCCTCGAAAACTTATAAATATGCTTTTGTTAATATATTTTTACTAGTATTAAGAAAAAAAAATGGATTTAAAAGTCCTAGTTTAGAGTTATTAACCGTTAAAGTGCTTGCACGAAATAAGCTTGTGCGTCGGAGCTGCCCTATTTTTTAGTTTTTGTATGAAAAATTCTTTTGTTTTTTAAATTAGTAAAAACTTTTTGTTATTATTTTAATAATATGCGACATTCTTAACATTACTGCGTTTAAATTTTTTTGATACCTCTGCTGGTTTAGTAGCAGTATCAAATTAAAAATTCGATTTTTTCTTGCACGAAATAAGCTTGGAGCCACTGTAAATTGTAGAGTAGATTGTGAGCTAATTGATGCAGAGGTCTAGAATGTACATATGTACATGTGTACTATGTAGCTTAAACTTCTTGGATTCAATCACTCAATTGATGAATATAATTTAATTTGGTAAAGTTTGTTACGTTGCGATGGTGTTAAAAGGTGTTATTGCTGTATGAATACAGGTAACAATAAAGTTGAGGTTAGGTACACTCCAAAGAACGTTAAGGGTGGTTTTGTTTGGCACCCGGATCAAACATATGTATGTATCAGAGAACGGCAAGGGTACACCCAGACAATAAGTGCACCCGAATCATTTGTGCGTTTTCGGCACTCAGAGTGTGATCGGCACCCTAAAATAAGGGTGGGTCTCTTGCACAGCTCATTTCGAATGTGCACTTGAGCACCAACTACTCTCTTGCACAGACACCCAACACACTTAAAGCAAATGAAGGGAGTGCCTGAAACACCCATGTTTCGGGATGAGTGATTCGGGTGTCTTCAACTGATCTGAGTATTTCGGGCTTCTGATGGCTGACCGAATAATTTTACATGAAAGAAAGGAAATCGCAATAATTTAACATAAATATAGCCCCTTAAAAACGTCAAAATAATTTGTTTTCCGTTTAAATTAATTTTAATCTTATAAAAGTATATTTGTAGGAATAAAATTTATTGCCGTCTTCAGTAACTAATATTAAAAAATAAGAGCTTATAATCATTACAAGTGATTAGTCTTCAATGACTAAGTCTTAAAAAACCCAAAAAACTTTTAGGGATCTAATAACCCCGCAAATTTTCTCAAGCCAACTTTTGTCAAAATAGTCATGATCGACTACTCCACATTTTAGTAAAGACGCATGATTAGTAGCACATATGATTTTAAGATTATTTAGCCTTTGCATTACGTCACTGGTTAATTCACCAGCTTCAATAATTCTAACTTCTTTTGTCAGGCTAGATTGTGCTCCTAAAAGCTTAATGATCCAACAATTAATAGATAATATTTAAAACTAACTTATCTGCTACTCCGTTGATGTGATTAGCGACGAGCTCTTTTATACCTTCGTTGTAGTGTCCTCGTTCCCTTCTTCGATGGCGTCTATGGAATGTTCCTCTACGCCTCGTTGCCGTTTTTTGGGTGTTTTATCTTTTCTCAGCGGCTATAAAAATTACTCGTGTTAATTTTGCTATTTTTTTACGATTCACCAATGTTTCTGGCTTTGGTGACTTCACCGATACGCAACAAAATCGCTTATCACTTGTATTAATTTATATTCTCGGTCTCGGAAAACACGAGACATTTTATTTTTTGCAATCTTTAGCTGTTCGTGCCCTTGCAACAATTCAGACGCTAATGTTTTGGTCTAAAAAACTCTGAGTCTTTTACCACTGGGGGGAAAACAAAAGAGTGCCACGAAAGACCAAAATGTAAGAGCAGTCTAAGTAAAAGACGTCTACATTTGTTAATTTACAATTTAAAACTGATTTTATTTGGCATAAGTTCCTGCTTAAATAGTTGACATGAGATTCTTAAAATTACATATCTCTAGGCCCACACGCTGTTGTAACCCTTTGGTGACCCGGGAGTTGGAGTTGTGCACATGCTGGTACTTCTTGAATTTTACAGTCTCCTTCTCGATGTAATATCTTTATCTAAGATTATACCAGTGACTTCCAGAAACTATACGGGATACACAGTTTAAGATTTTCGCGTCCTGCCAAGCCCACAAAACATGATGAACTTAAAAAAAACTTTCTCGATGCTAAGATGGGAATTCTCTGTCTCCAAGTTACGCACACGCTCAATATCGGTGGCCAGAAGTTCGTTCAGGTTCTGCAGCTCAACCTCCTCAGCTACGCGAGAGTGGCAGGTGGGGCTTAGGGGGCTGAAGACCTCTGATGAAGCGCCCACACGAGGTTTCCCTGCAACCATCTCCCAAAACACGTATTCTGCACGAGAGGCAGTCCGTATCCTTGTTTGATTTGCCAAACTGAGAGCAGATCAAAAAACAAGCTGGCTGGAAGTTCGGATCTGCCAGAACCACATTGGCAGGAACCTTCCAGTTGGAGACATTTATGTTCAGACCAGGTTGGCGCTCTGTGATGTGAGACTCCACAACTGCCTCAATGTTGACCGAATACGTGGATAGGCTAGACTTTAGGCAAACATTAGCCGATACTCCATCCGTAGTGAGGCCAGTTGCCCCTACAGAGCATTCGGACCAATAAAACTGAAGGTGGCTGGCCACCAGTGATGTGATAAGATGAACTTGTGAGTCGGAATCAAGTAGCGCCCCGCAGGGAAGGTAGTCCTCTGATCTGCCACGAACGAGAATGTTGGTGGTTGCCAAGAACACTGCTTCAGCGTGGCGATCCTGGGTCACGAAAGCGTTAGCTGGCGGAGCCTGAGAGGTCCATACGC